GGGGATCACCCCAAATATAGAGGGGACCACCTCAAAATCAGACAGAGCATCCCAAAGGCAGAGGGGACATCCCAAAGTTAGAAGAGATCACCTCAAAATTAGAGGGGATCACCCCAAAATTAGACAGAGCATCCCGAACTCAGAAGGGGCATGCCAAAATTAAAGGGAGTCACCCCGAAATTAGAGGAGAACACCCCAAAGTTAAACGAGGCCACCCCAAAATCAGAAGGGGCATCTCAAAATTAAAGCAGGCATCCCAAATTTCTGTGTCCTCCCCCAGATTTTGGGGGTCTCCCCGAGATTTTGGGTTCCCCCAGGTGTTGGGGGGGGGCCGTACCTGCAGCTCCTTGATCCAGGAGCAGTGCCCAGCCCCACCCACCCTGAGCCCCTCCAGGTTTCCAGGTGTCCCCCCCATAGTCTGGGGTGTTTCCCCAGGTTTTTGGGGGTCTCCCCGATATTTTGGGGTCCCCCAGGTGTTGAGGGGGGCCGTACCTGCAGCTCCTTGATCCAGGAGCAGTGCCAGTAGGAGAGCCCCACCCACTTGACGAAGAACTCTCGCTCGGATCGGCCCTGCAGGGCCTGGGGGGGCCCCTCCTGGGCCTGGGGGGTCCCGGGGGGCGCCACGGGGGCGGGGGGCTCCCCCCAGCGCCAGTACAGGATCTTCTGTACCCGCCCCTTCAGCACCGGGCACTGCGGGGACACCGGGGACGTTGGGGACATCGGGGACACCGAGGGGATGGGGGGCAGGGTTGTGCCCCGAGATTGGTGGGGGTCCCGTGCTGTCCCTCAGTGTCCCCTGGTGTCCCCACAATGTCCCAACAGTCCATGGTGTCCCCGCGACTCAGTGTCCCCTCCCCTTGCTCCCACAGTTGTCCCCTCCATGCCCCCATAACCTCCCCATATCCCCCCATGGGATCCCCGTGCCCCACACTCCATATCCCCGTGTCCCCTACTGTCCCCATGTCCCACCCTACCCCTCCATCTCCCCATGTCCCACTGCCCCCAAATCCCCCCATATCCCCTCCCCATATCCCCTCATGGTGTCCCCATGTCCCACTGCCCCCATATCCCCCCACGTCCC